ATCCATAGAAAATTATGGGTGTGGTACAATATGATCCACAGGAAATTATGGGTGTGGTACAAGATGATCCATAGAAAATTATGGGTGTGGTACAATATGATCCATAGAAAATTATGGGTGTGGTATGATACAATCTGTGTAATTCAGTATAATCAACAGTGTTGTACTAATGTTTTATAACATCTATATAACAGCTATGGGTAGAGCTGTTTGTCATGCTCTGTATTTCCTGAACGTTTAATCGTAGAAAACATCTATATATCAAAATGATTCTTTTCAAGAGTACATCACAAAAAAATTATTCATTTTTTTACAATTCCTAAAATTTTTCTATTGATACCAACATCGATCCGTATATGTATGTAATGAATGGTCAATTTTACTGTTTCACATGTCCGTATTATACACGTACACTATTTTACTGTTTCACATGTCGGTATTATACATGTACACTATTTTACTGTACCACGTACAATAAATTGATATGAATTGAATTATCCTCTGTGTCACTTCTTATCGAAGTGATAACTGTCAAAAAGCGCTTACTTCGGCAGAGGTTTTTTTCTTGCGCTCAGTAAAATGACACGGAACGATGGCATCCAGTGAAAACAAATCCATGCAGCTACTTAGCGAACCTGAGCTCTCTATTGTGCCGGATTCACCCATTGTATCGAAACCCAAGCATTGTTGCCAACAATGCATTACAGTCAATCTCCTTTGCTTGAAAAGAAACACAATGTAATTTTCGTTATTGAAATAACACATGGAATGACAATAGACACCTGTAAACGGCCCACTAGACAATCATGTTGCATATACGCTCTGATCTAAGAGATTTGGTTGATTGCACATTTTATATTTATTCATCACTGTTTTTAGGAAACTAACCGTTGAACTGTTTCAACGATATCTGCCACTTAATTGTAATCGTGCTGTGATTCACTGGTCAAACTTTATTTACTGGGATATAACTTTGAGAGAGAGAGAGTCTATGTGTTTCTGCTACCGTACGGTAAGATGTACGTTTATTGTCTTACGTGAAGTAAAGGTCGTTTGTTCTTGCAAAACAAGAGTCAGAATTGTTCTTACAAACTTTCCGACAGTGACGTTTATCAGAATTTATTTGTTGAAGCTAGGACAAACCGACAATAGAGGAGATTTTGGTAAGATTCGTTCTCGTCACGACGATGATTTCCACAGCTGCGTCGGACGTCTTTTGTGTAACAGAACCACACTCACTACAAAGACGCCGTTATCTTTATTTAATATATTTTACAAAGTTGGAAGTGAGAAGAATGAAAAATCTTGCGTTTTATGGGCGTTTCGAATCTCTCTCTTATAGCTGCTTAATTACTTGGATGAACCTCTCTTATAGCTGCTTAGTTACTTGGATGAACCTCTCTTATAGCTGCTTAGTTACTTGGATGAACCTCTCTTATAGCT